CTTTCTTTTTTATATAGAACACAGAAGCAGAACATATTTTGAATATTTTGAAGAATATACTGGGGGTTTTTTTTCCTAAAAAAAAAGGAACCGGAACTTTTACACTTGAAAAATTATGCAAACACCAAAAAAGTAGTCCATATGACTTCTGAAGCCATATGATAGCACTGCATACAGAACAGAGTGAAAATAAAGTCGTTATCGACAGAAATTATTTGTTTGAATGATCTGTTAATGGATTGGATTGAACTGATTCTCAAGTTGAATTCGATCTAGTTGTGACATTTAATAGCCCATTGGAATAAAATATATCATATATGATACTTTTGAATCTCTTTTCAACCATAAAAGCTCCAGTGTAATTTGTATCAAAACAAAAGATCATTATATTCTTCAAAATTTATCTTATCTTAACTGTATCTATACAAGTCATACAGTTGTAGAATTACATAATGAGAAATTTATGATAGAATTTTAATTTTGGGTGAACTGTTCCTTCAACATTCATGTCAATAATGCAGCAATGTGAAAACTCAATATAGCAAATATGTAACCAATCATTCAAGATTCTAGGTCAACGTAAAAGTTTAACAATCTCCCATTGCAAAACCCATCAAACTAATCTTTATTGGGAAGATATGTTCAAGACCCCTCAAAGTAGGGCTGCACGATAAATCGCATGCGATATTTAACGCGCATCTTATCAGTAGAGCCGTTGTTCACTGACGAGTTGCGCAAAACCACATATTCGCGCGATTTTTTGCGCAGCTCGTCAGTGAACAACGGCTCTGTGTAGTTAATGCTGCTCAATGTGAAAGCCCGCAGGTGATGGAGATTTACAGCTGATTACAGAACCGGCTTTCTGACAAGATGCGCGTTAAATATCGCATGCGATTTATCGTGCAGCCCTACCTCAAAGTCTTTGGTGGTTAGTTATAGCCCTGACCATCAATAAAACTGATAAGTTCATGGACTGTTCAAACCGTGCGCCATTCTTTAACAATACCGCATTTTTCACTTCAAGTATGACTAAAAAAGGTAATAAACTAAATGTATAAATGCTATTTTAAAAAGAAGCAAGACGAGTCCTGTGTATAATCGCACAGTATAACCCTGTAACAGCAGCCAGCAGTAAAATTAATCCAATTACCACTAAGCACTCCCCACAATGATAATTTACACAAGCTGCTCATTAATCCAACTAGTCTGCCAGCAAAATAGGTAAACTGTTTCCTGAATAACCAGGTTTGTATGATGGTGTAACCTTTTTTTTTGGATCATTGTAGCTGGTTTCAAGCTTGTAGAGCATCAACTAACCAGCTGGTAATAGTTGGTTTCTGGAACAAGCTGGTCATTGGCTGGTCAAACAGGTTCCAAAACACAGCTACTAACTTAAACTGGATGTTCCTGCAGTGTGCAGAATGTACCCACGAAATACCCCAGTGTGTTCATGGAACATAGCAGCAGCATAGGTGATTTGTGAAGACTGTCAGCTGACAGCTTACAAGAAGGATGCACGATGCAATACATTTGCACGAGATCAAAAATAAATGTAGAACGTTCGCAGGGCCCAGTGCACGAGCACAATGACACCACTGCAGATTTAAATGTAAATGTAAATGCATTCGAACGCAGACTCGCGCCAGCTGCTACACAAAGGACATAAAACAATGCAGGCGAGCCGTTGCATCTGTAGTTTCCCATTAATAAGATGCATCGCAAGGTGAAATATGTAGCATGCATGCTATGCAGCGGGGTCGGGAGGGGGGACATAAAAAAAAAATGAAACACGAACAGGCCTTCTGATAAACATTGGCTCAGACAACTGCAATGAGAGAATTATAAATGGCGTCATTCGGAAATGCACCTTGCGAAAATGCATAAGCGCACGTTATAAGATTTGCTCTACTATATATTTATGTATATGCGTGCATTATCTCGCCCCCTGCAATGTACTGCATCCCCACACGATCCGTATTACAGCCGGTGTTTCCTGAACATTTCCATCCAGCCCAGCTCCGCTCAACACCCGAGCTCTCCTTTAACCCCGACTCCCCCATTGTACCTCCTCGGGAATGTCCTGTTGACATTCGGGGATGGCCGCTCCTCCGGGACAGTCGGATTCGAGCCCCGCGCCCATCTCGTCCAGTCCCGGGTCCCGCTCCGGATCGCGGTTCATGGTGTCTCCGTTGAAGACGGGCGGTGGGGACTCGGCGCTGCTCAACGCCGCCATTTTAAACCACGAGAATCTGAGTGGAAAATAATAGAGGAAAGAAACAGAGAACGAGACAGGAGGGGGAGACAGATTCACCAAATGTAAACCCGTAGTGGGGTAAATGGGGATACTGGACGCCGACTAGTGCACTAATATTAAAGTCTAAATTATAAAAACAAATAAGTCACACATTTGTTTCAGCCACGTCGATCATGCAACTTGAATTATCCTTTCTTATATACCAGGTAGACCATATAAAGGTAGCTGTTTTATCTAATAACTCCCAAAAGCTTGATTTTAACCCAAAAGCTCTGCATAAACATTAATATTTATATATGTTACCTAGAACGACTGAGCAGAGTCCATCCGACATGATTTCACATCAGGCGGCCAGAGGTGTACAAAGTACTGAAAAAATAATATTTAACCCTATACAGCTTGCTGTATCGAAATTATCAACATTATCAAAACTTTGCTGAAAACCTTCTTCTACGTGTCTTCTTATAGTTCATACTTCTTGGAAAGTAAAAGGCCTTTATAAAGTAAGAAATATAGGAATAAGTAAGAATATGTAAGAATAACATATATTGTGAGTACTATTTCAAGATAAACATTTAGTGGACAGAAACAATTTAGGATTATTTGATTGTTTAAATTAAAACTACAAAGCTTTGATTAAAAATAAAAGATTAAAAATTACTAAGAAGTATTATGAGGAGATAAAGAGTGACAACAGATATTTGTTTTCATGTAAGTAGTCTGCTATACTGTATAAAAAATCTCATTGATTTACATTACAAGCTATCAGAATTTCATCATTTCATTTCATATAAATAACAACTGCACCAAATTGCATATTTTTGCTCTGAATAAAGTTGAGGTGCTCAATATTCTCACTATATCATACTATATAGTCCATAAAAGCAAATATGATAACATAAAGCACATATAAAATTTTTTTTTAAGAATCTAGCCAAAAACATAGCAACTGTTTCTTTCTTTTTTCTTCAAGATACATATGAAAATTCTTATTAATACCCAAATGTGTACAGGAATCTGAATACAGCAGCTGGTATATGCATTAGGCAGAAAAGGCATATGCACAGAATTATTTCAATAGCTGTGGAGCATGCAAATAAATTTCTTCAGAAAAACAGACCAGAATGTGAACATTAAACAGAAGATTATTTGTGAACCTGGACCACAAAACCAGTCACAAGGGTCAATTTTTCAAAATTAAGATGAATACATCATCTGAAAGCTGAATAAAAAAGCCTTCCATTGATGTATGGTTTGTTATGTATAGGACAATATTTGGCCGAGATACAACTATTTGAAAATCTGGAATCTGAAGGTGCAAAAAAAATCAAAATATTGAGAAAATCGCCTTTAAATTTGTCCAAATGAAGTTCTTAGCAATGCATATTACTAATCAAAAATTAAGTTTTAATATATGTATAGTAGGAAATTTACAAAATATCTTAATGGAACATGATCTTTACTTAATATCCTAATGATTTTTGGCATAAAAGAAAAATCAATAATTTTGACCCATACAATGTATTTTTGGCTATTGCTACAAATACCCGTGCAACTTAAGACTGGTTTTGTGGTCCAGGGTCACATTTGGCTATAAAAGTGGTCAATGTCCTGACTATGTGAGGCTCTAGGACACACATAGTGCAAATGCTGCAATGTTTTTATGACCATAGTTTTGTCCAAATATAGTTTATACTGAATTTAATGTTATTTTTCATCTCTAAAAATGAAAAATAATCAGTAGTGTAAAGCCCCCAATTAATAAGTTACAGTCCTGCAGAATAGACCATAGAACAGGAACTCAATCTGGTGTACAAGAAATTGATGACCCTGTTATGCCTGTTATTGGAACAGTTTTAAGGTAGCTTTTTATCATCTTTATAAGTGAGTGAGTGATGTGACATGTGGCCAAGTATGGTGACCCATACTCAGAATTAGTGCTCTGCATTTACCCATCCAAAGTGCACACACACAGCAGTGAACACACACACACCGTGAACACACACCCAGAGCAGTGGGCAGCCATTTATGCTGCGGTGCCCGGGGAGCAGTTGGGGTTCGGTGCCTTGCTCAAGGGCACCTCAGTCGTGGTATTGAAGGTGGGAGAGAGTGCTGTACATTCACTCCCCCCACCTACAATCCCTGCCGGTATGAGACTCGAACCCGCAACCTTTGGGTTATGAGTCCGACTCTCTAACCATTAGGCCACGACTTCCCACAAAAGGAGGATGTTCTTGCATTGGCCGGGAATTATCATGTTAGGGAAAAAATTAGCAGATATGGGCCTTAGAGAATGGCATGTCACCCACAATCAAAGTTATTGCTACACAAAATGCATAATTTCTAACATGATCCTGACTGACATATTTCCATTATGAGTCCATTACAGTATGTGGTGTATTGATTTGTTAGCACAAATGCCCAAGCTTTGGCCTCTCTTTCTTTATAACAGCCCATGAAATTTTGTCTTTTCATGATGGTAGACCCTTAAAGGAGTGTTAACATGTGTCTGGAACAAAACACCCTTGAGGCTTGTGCACGGTTTATGGGCTCTTTCACTGTATTCTTAGGAAAACAAACGTAAGAGGTGTTGGTGAGGTATTCTGAGGAGTCCCAGCATTGTAAACTGGCAAAACTCTGCAGAAAAGCATAATGAAGAACCATGTCAATTTTGTTTAAAAAAAATAAATAAATAAATAGGGTATTGCTAAATGAAGACGCAAAATGTACAAAAATGAACATTTAATTTCCATCAGACACCAAAAGCGATTTTAGCATTTGTGTTTTTCTTTCACCATCATCTCTGCTAATAGAACATATCACCACAGTCATAAACATGTCCTGTTGTCCATACAGATACAACTCATATACAGAGTTTCTTCATCGTATTCTCCGTTCATAATGTCCGTTCATAAACAGCTGAGATGCGCTGGTCTACTTCTTCTTTGTGGCTCTCTTCCCTTCTCCCTTCTTTGGTTTTCCTTTACCCCGCAGTTTCCTCAATCGTCTCATTTCCTCCTTGAAATCCTGGTGCTCATCCCTAAAACAATGCCAAAAAAGTGTCAGCTACAAAACAAGAATTTGAAGAAAAAATGTCCATATGTTCATTATGAAAGAGCTTACCTGAAAAGTCCCATGAATCTGAGCTTCTGGGTCATTGAATAGTAGATCTTGTGTGGGGGGTACCAGTCATACACTTCTTTTCTCTGGGCCAGCGGGGGTTCTTTAAACAACTCTACCACTTTCATAGATTTGGAGTCTGTCTGACGGGCCACATCCCCAAATATTCGGGCGCTCAGACGGGCCATGCGCAGGGCATAGCTGGACAGACCAGCCATCTTCACCTAACAGAGTACACAGATAAATGCATTAGTTAAATGTCTCGTGCATTCATTTCCATAAATGCTTTAATTAAATAATATTATATAAATAAATACATTTTAACTCTATATCTTTCAAACACAGTTGTGCATTTTATTAAAGAGTCTGCAGTTGCTGTGTATATATAACGTTACCTGGCGGATAAAAGATCCAAAAATTGTCTTCTTACCCTTTCAAATATCCCGAAAGAAGCAGCCGAGGTCCAAAAATACATGCTTTATTATAAAGGCATGTGAACAGACATCAAGTACTGAAAAAATATATTCAGTAACTAGTTTGATTATTCGTTCATGGTTAGTTGACAGTTCAACCTTCATCCGTTCAGGTTCAAACACACATTGGAGAACGTGAACAACACGCATGCGCGTAGCAGGTAAAGCGCTTCCCTTATCCGTCTCTCAGGTCCTTAAAATGTGTGTAACATGTAGTTTAACAGCTTCAGCACTATGCGTTTTACACACTTCCAATTTCCCCAAGTTAAATATTATAGTAGCCAACGAGAAGAGCCATCTATTATAATATGACTTATTGCTGTTAAAGATTTCTTTCTTTATTTGTGAACACTACTGCTTAAAGGACCTGGTCATAGAGGACAGTTCATTACAAGATAAAAACGAGTTCGTGCAGTCGGTCAGTAATTCGTGGCTTAAGCTTTAAAGAGCTAAATATTGCATTTCATTAAGTTTAAATACCTTTTTAGCTTGATTTGTGGAGCCTCTTCACCGTGGAAAAGGTCTTGTACGTCACAGGAAGTCGTACGCCGGTGTAATCTTTCCGTATGCGAATATCTGCCAAGATAAAGAGTTCTGTCTAGGTACATTCTACATAATCAGCACAGTTCCGTGTGTACTGTAATGATTTAATCATTAAAAAAACGTTGCTTTATATTTATTTAAATGTAACGTCAAGATAAACACCGTTTCTTTATTAAATGTGCTAACAACTACCTAAAAACATTAGCATTATGTGAAGTATTGAGTGTGGGATTATTGGATAATTAAAAAAATAATAATAATAAAAAAAAACGTCTCTGCGCCATATTCTTCTTCTTCTTTTTATTATTTATACGCATATTCTTCGTATAACTCAAACCAGTTTATAAGGGCTGCGGGACTAGATTTGCTCTCATATCCTTGTTCACTAGATGGCGATATATGCATTAAAGAAAAAAAAAAGGTAGACACACGTAGACCATGATAAAAATTAATTGATGGACAGCTCGGATTAGCATGACAATCACGTTTTCCCTTTCCTTCCAGAGAATGTATCTATGAACACAATTCTGGGGACAACAAAAAAAAGGAACAAGATAACACATCCTCAAATAGCACACGACAAATTGCCTTGTGTGTATCGGCTGCATTTTTTAGATTACATTGTTCAGTTTTCACTGTCAGCTGCAAATAAGTTCCAAACAAACTTTGCCTCCCTTTAAACTTTAATTAAAATGTAGCTGTCAAGCTGTCATTCATTCTCTCCTAGTGACAATTACAGTCCAACAAAATTAAATAAAGAAAAGACATCTCCGAATATGAATCAATCCAATGCACCCAAGTCAATATTATAGTTTCAGACAATATTATTCAGTATTTCAGTCTGTCAATAGTAGCTATAGCATAAAACGTGACATAAAGATCCCCTTAAATAATTTTCCTCAATTTTGTTCACTTAAAGAGTAGAAGGACAAATTCCTGACATAATTTTCACTCAGATGCTGACTTTTAAATGCAAAACGTCTTAAATATTGTTTCAAATATAATCATTTGTCACCCTGCAGTGCAAATAATGCTGCATTCTCTATTGTTTATTGAATTTTTCTTATTTAGTAAGAAAACACTAACCATGTGAACAGTGTGTCTGGTAAACAGGTAAAAGCATGAACACACACACACACACACACACACACACACACACATATATATATATATATATATATATAT